CACCTACTTGCTATAATTCCATTCAGGAATTAGCAATCTAGGCCAACTAAATCAATCTGATTCTAAGCAGCGAATTAACACACCCGTTTACTCAACAAGCAATTTCCCTACTACAAATCACGAAATCACCATCATCAGAGTCTGAACACTTACCTCAAGTCCAGACGCACCTGCAACTCAATTACCACACACAATTTAACTTACACAAACAATCACAATAAACAATCTGGAGGCACGTGTAGCTCATTTCACCCTACAACCCACCTAGATCTCCCCATTTACTACCCCAGGGTTTCCGCTCCTTATCACTCCAATTTTCGACCAGTTCTTGATCGAGCTGACCTTGCTCTGATACCAATTCAAACGAGGATGTCACGCCCCGAACCCCTACGGCACGCGACACCGCCTCTGGTCGATTCAAGCGACGTCCCAGGAATATCGCTGACCTCAAAACGCCATCAGAGATTTACTACCACAGCGGATATCAACAATTAAACCCGGACAATTAAAACTGGGGAGAAAAATCAGGGAGAATATACATATCTTTTTCATTTCCTTCTTCTACCATAATATTTACATTTATAAACTGTCCCATACATGTACATGCACATTGCCTTTCTCAAAAACCGATAATCCAAGGATGAAGACTTGAGTTTACTACTACTCCAAAAATGGTGCTCGCCAAAAACCCATTCTGAGTCTGATTCCTTGTCCTCTGAGTCTGAGTCCCTTTATACCGTCCCATCCACTGAGGACTCCAAAACGTTCTGGTGGCGGTGGCGGAAGATTCATGGGTCCTGTCGGGGTTCTGAAATTGTTGGTTGAAACAACCGTGAGAACACTTCTCAGTAAGTTCACCCCTAAACCCAACCTAGGCTAGGCTAGCATGCAATCTCCTGACTGGAAACAATTATTCAAATCACAATACCACAATAGTCAGACAATTATCTGACCCTGCAGGTTAGGCAGATCAACATATAATAGTCACGGCACATGCGTGGCATGCATAATCACACGTTCATGCACCGATTCTCATACATTCGCATGCCAGTCAATGCATGTTCCATGCATGCAAATGTCATCTACATGTCATACGCATTCTCCGGCCCACTGGCCCACACTGGCACACTGGCAATTTCCCAATTTATTATTAATTATGACTCGAGTCCACATTATTAACGGCCCGGTGCGTCTAGCCTGCTTCAAAGTGCATGAGGCGCAGCAACCGATCAGGCCCAGTGTCTCTAGCCTGCTTCAAAGTGCATGAGGCGCAACACCGATCTCCTTACGAACCAGAGCCTGTTTCAAAGTGCATGAGGATGGTCGTCTTCCGGACGTACCGGGCATCGTCCTGCTTCAAAGTGCATGAGGACGGTATTGACCCGAAGGTCACGACCCGAAGGTCCTTCGGTGATCACACAACTTATTATTATCTGAACCCAGCGTATAACGCTTCAGGGCATTTTAGGTGATCACATGCTCATGGCATAAACGCATTCTCACACAATTTCATCACATACCTCACTCTCGGCATACACAATGCGTGTCCATGTTATGCAATGCAATGCACCATGAGCGCCAATTAAATTCAAACACTCAATATCACCACACGCTGAAACATCACATTGCAGGCACAACAAATAATATTGCCAGGCTCAAACATGCGCACAACATCATTCAAACTCAATCCTGTCAGATGTAAACACGCGCATATACCACTCTTATCCCATTATTCCGTCCATTCTCATTTCCTCTTTCTCATTCTTCGCCAGTGACCCGCGTAAACGTACACGCCTCAGGTACACTGCGACCACTCACCACATCCGGCCTGCGTACTCGTTCACGCCTCAGGCCCCTCGATCGCGCCCCGAGCATCACACGCCTCGGTCCGATCCCACATTCACTTTCTCAAGCCATTGCCTCAAATTCCGTGCACACTTGCACCCCACACTTCACCACATCACCATTTTCACACAAAAGCACATTTTCGCATAAAACATTTTTCTTTGTTCAAATGTTTTCAAATCATTTTCAGCCCTTCACGGGATTTTCATAAAATTCCAAGGCGGACCTAACGGTACCGAACACGCATCAAACGACTCACCACAGCACAGTGCACAGTACTCCCACAGCTCGTGAACAGTAATTTCTGCACTCAAATCACAAAATCACACCACCGACTCTTCCCGACACTTACATGAAACTCCGAGCCGAACTCCACGGTATCATTCTCGTACCCAACAGCACGCCACAGCATACTCAACTTAATTACCACAATTTACTAATAATTTAAATATGCATCCAATACGATAATTCCCATTTTTCTCCCACCAAACGGCGTCAGATTAATTCCGATCCTTCACGGGACTTTCTCGCCATAATATCTAGGTTCCAAAAATTCAACTTGCGTCCCAATCGGACCATCACAGCTCGGTGAACAGTAATCCACAGCCAGTGAACAGTGATTCGAGGCATATGAACAGTAATTCCCAGCCCCTAATTTTCTGAATTTCCAATAAATATTACCCGAATTAATTCCTAAGGCCCGCCATAAAATTTTCACCCCCTATCCATGTAATTCCGCACCTAATTTCATACTGATTTCGTCCGAATTTACCCGTCGATACCCGAAGTCCTAAATTGGGTTTAGAGCGCGACTTACCCGCGTTCTAGACTTCCTCGGCTAGAACGGAAAGCGGCGGCCCTTAATCGGGGACAACGGCGACGACGTACAACTTCCGGGTGGCGGCGATCGGCTTGGACAGCGATGGAGTGGCTTGCGCGTGGCCGAGAGCCTCACGGCCAAGAGAGAGAGGGAGGGAAATAGAGAGAGAGAGGGACGGCGGGAGGGGGTGATGGTGGCGTACGGCGGCGTGGACGGTGGCTTGAGGGTGGTCCGGTGTGGTGGCGGCGAGCGGCGGCGCCGGCGGTGGAGAAAATGGCCAAGGAAGAACTCACGGTGGAGGAGGGGAAACTCACGGCCAAAAAAGAAAAAGGGGGGGGGGGGGGGAAGTCCACGAAGGAGAGGGAGAGAGAGAGGAGAGGGTCTTATCTAGAAACTTTGACCCAAAAAATATCTAAAGCAAAAATGACTAAAATACCCATTCTTCCATAAGCATGCCCTTTGTTAATCCTTAAGGGCAAAACAGTCAACTTTTTCGTTTCTTGTCCAGATTGAATTTTTTCGAAGAATTTGAGCACAACAAAATTCACACGTGTCACGTACAACGTCGTCCTAATGTTCCGTGTGACTTCCTAATTTTCCGGTGTCTAATTTGGGCAAAAATTCAATAATTAAATTCTATTAAACGCAACTCGAGCGTTTCTCGAGCTAACGGGCGACTTGGCTGGGGAAATTCGCAGAATCGACTCATGACTGATACTGAATCGAGTCACGTGCAAGTCCGTTCGATGCGTGACGATCTCGGTTGTCATAAAAATCGCGAAGATCAATCACTTCATCCGAGGGGTACGATCGTTCGGTATAATTTCGGAATCATTCGTCAAGTCGTTTCGTGGTCCAACGGAATCACCCGCGATCCACTACTAGGACAGTGGCAAACTGACCCCTAACTATCCTTGGATCGGCCAACAGTGGCTCAAAATATCACTTACGCGATTTAATGGTCGAAGTCCATTCACGGTCGAATTTTCTTTAGTCGCGCGAATTTAATTCCCCTATTAGCCTTTCCCTAATGGTTAGCATTCCCAGGAATGATCAGTTCCGGGCGAGAATTTACTGCGAGCACATTTCATAAAACTCAGTTATTTCATAATATCCAATTGGCAGAAATTTCGGAATGTCACATAAATGCTTCCACAAGAAGCACTTAGATGTTGGTGGGGTGAGTCATATCCTGCTAATGACATAAACAAAAAATTCCAGGTTCATTGTGAAATTGCCTCTAGAACCCCAAAACTTACGGTCATTAATAGCAAAGGAGAAACTAAATCTTAAAAATGGCCACTATGCATGGAAAGGGCCACGACCCATGGGCATGATGTCACAATTGGCTCAAAACAATTTTCAGAAAGAAACCAGCAAACAAAAATGACATCTTAAACCATCCAAATGTTCAGACAAGATGTCACAGTTGCTATTAATACTTCGAGAAAAGGTTTAGTCTAAAGTTCATGCAACCCACGATCCTATCATAGGTCACGTGAGTGTCTGTATAATCCGTGTCCAAGACAAAGTTTGACCCTCAAAGATCACTACTTGTCATGGAGAAGAGAATTAATGGGACATGACTTTGGGGTGGGTAGCATTTCTGGTACTAGTTCCACAACATGTGCCTAGAAAACTCTGGACCACTCTGTCCAATAAAGCTGAGACAAAAAGCATAAGTTAGACATTTAGAATTGGTTCCAGCCTACAACATGTCTGACCAGTAGTCTGACTGAAAAGGAGCTGCTTCTTTTGGTTAGAGAGAGACAGACAGAAACAGTGCACAGAACACAGATTTAGGATCAATATATTCTAGTCTAAAATGCATTAGCAATTCAAGATTACATGACATAAAATTTGAGCTCAAGCGCTTGCAAAAGTTATATATCCGGACCATAAACTTATCAATAATCCCATAAAGTTTCCAGCAAGTAAACTTTGTAATGATTAGTTGGAAGTCTTTATCCACTATATTTAGGTATTCAACCAACTTTAAGCTCCATGGCTTAACATGTAAGACAATTCACACAACTAAATGCGTAGACCATAGATGGTTCAAGTAAAGGGTTATTTGCAACCCATTCTGCTTGTGTTTTGTCTACGGGTTGATTTACCAAAAAAGAAAAAAACCAAGATGCTGACCAATTGTAAATATAAATATGAAGCCATAGAAAGTTTAAGATATCCAGAGTCTCCAGAGTCTAGACTCTTCAAGGCAGAGTTGGCAGAGAATTCCAGGTAACTCTTAACAGACCAAAACTAAATAAATGGAAGAGCACAATAGAGAAGAACCAATATCTGAACCCATAACAAGTTTTTAACTATCTTGCCACAATATCAAGTCCGCAAAAGGATGCCATAGGCCCTCCCATAGAATGCCCTGTCGCCATGACGTCGATATCAAATCCTTGGCTCTTCTAACAGCATCCAAAGTACCAGGTCGCATTGTTGTATTGTGACAAGCATGATAAATCCATGATGAACCTAAGCAAAGACAATAGAATAAGACTATAACTCATTCCAAATCAGAAGTATCCACAACTTGCAAGAGGCTCATCATCTCTAGAACCATGGCTACAGGCATGCGGGGGTAGTTTAGGTCAAGCTGTTTCCAATAGAAATCTTCAATCCAATTCTGTATGCTGTAGATAGAAGTAACCACTAACCGAAAAAGTTCAAATAACTTTTCCAAGAACAAAATTAGTGAAGTATGTGATCTCCTCATGACTCCATCTAAATTTACAAGCACATAGCTTTCATGTCTCAGTGGAAATGATTCACTGTTTTCCCTTCTTATGGACAGCAGACCCATGTGCTTTGTGTACGCACTCAACCGAGGCTACTCTTCTTAGCTTAAATTTTCATCAAATCCTTCGCATGTCAAATGTAAGAGGAATAATTGCTAAAGTTAACATGCATACCTATGTTCTTGAGTACCTTTGAAAGCTATAACTGCAGCATTAAGGTCCTGGCCACCCCAATATATGCCTACAGGTAATATATATTGATTAGAAATAAGGACAAAAAATTAGATGAAATTCAAACATAGAGGCATCACGAGCATCGCAAATTGGTAGGCCACTGCGACATGAATTACATACCTATAAGCAGTGCTGGACGTCAAACTATCAGATCAATGACTTAGAACCCCTGCTTTCAAATCCAAAGGCATTAATAACCGGTCAGAAGCTAATAAGAGAAGGCAGCATATGCCCACAAAATCTCATCTCAAGAATTGGCCATTTAGTACTGAGGACAACCTTAGCAAAAATGTCATATTAAAACGTAGTCAAATTACCTTGGTCTTTCCATCACAACTAGGACATGTCCAACTAAAAAGTTGTGTCAAATCTGACATGTAAACCTGCAAAACAAAAAGCTTTGCACCTTGTTACAATGTTATTGTATTGAAATGGTGAAACCTGAAGGGTAATAACAAGAAGCTCTATGTAAATGGGAGAAAGTTTATAAAGAACACTTTACTACAGATGCATACTCCACCACTATCGTCACAAGAGTCTGATTGTAAACAGCTTGAAGAGCCTTGGACCTCACTCAAAGTTCTGCATTTACCAGTTGAGAAAATTTCAGATTGAAAATGCAGTCACAAGTTCATTCAATTACAAGCAATGAAGCAAGTTTCTTATGTCTCTAGCAAGCTATTTCAACAAATCAAGTGAGAGGAACACTTTAAGGAAACATCAACTCAAAACAATATTTCAGTATATTTCTACCGTCCTTCATGAACTTAAAGAACTATATATGTTCAATGCAATGCGTTGAAAGGGGAATATGTAAACAACACAAGGCTCCTCTTTCCCAAAAGCTATTCCACTATAACCTTCAAGCTACAGTCCATCACTCAACTGGAGAAAAGCTGACTAGCTGACAGTCAATCACTGTGAGATACTCAACAAATTTTATCCCCAAAGAAGAAACAGCAGGATGAAATTTGTACCGACAAATATAAGGAAATTCAATCGATCCGACCATATTCCAAGCAGTAGCATCGATCCAAACTCGGTAATCCAATAGCTTAACAAAACCAACCAAATGCAACACGACACTGTCAGTCATATATGCCTTGAAAACATCCAAATCTGCACCAGAGGGACCATTCAGCTATAGGTTGGCCCCCATTCAATCAGGCACTACAGCTCCATGACACAGTCAACGATTCCCCAACGCTGAAATACCTAAATCCGCCAAATTCACAATACAAATCTCACTTTCCAAGCTCAAAACTGACGTACCCAACACTAGAGCCTCCGAATTAAGTCAGAGGATCACAGTAGTAAACTGGCACATGAACACGGAATTTACCTCTCGCCCCACTCGCGGCAATCGAGCATGTCAGAACCACCATCGCCGTCAACCGCCACCCGTTCCGCTCCATATTCTACAATAGAAACGGATCGAACAGTGTCATCGAGTAAACGAAACCGCGCCACAAAGAAATCGAATCTCTGTACGTTTCCCATCGGCAAACAATTACATGAAATCGAATGCCGCGAATCGCGCAGTGAGATAGAGAGATGGATCGCGATCGTCCGTATTCCTCGAATTGAACCTTGATTCCGGTCTCTCAGGTTGGTGGATTTTATGAAGATTTTCGTGATGGGATGGCGATCGAAAGCTATGGCAACTTGGGGCAAAGGGAAGGGGAGGATGATGAGTATACGACATTTCCTTATTTGCCCTCGGGATCTTCTTCTGTTGTTGGCGGGCAGATTCGGTGATTTCTAATGGTGTCAAAACCAAATAATATGCCCGAACCGGAACACGAACCGACCCGACCCGACCCGAAGTTTTGGGTATTTTCGGGCCGGGTCAACTTCATGTTCGGGTATTAGCTAAGCAAATGGGTATCTCAATGGTTTCGGTTTGGTTCGTGTTCTAAACACGAACCGAACCGAAACACATATTTTTATTTTTAGAACCAAAACACATTTCACTTTGTAGCACTGTCATTCAACTTCGTCTTGACTTTTTCGACGTGGCGTGAACAAAAAGTTTTTGTTCTTTTGCTTAGGTTTACTTGTGTGGATCGGTTCAATGTATGCTGTGATTGGGATTTTGGTTGCTTCTGATCGTGCGCTCTTTTCCATCGTCCTCATGTGCTGAGCATTAGGAGCAGCAGCACATAGAGAGAGAGAGAGAGAGAGAGAGAGAGAGAGAGAGAGAGAGAGAGAGAGAGAGAGAGAGAGAGAGAGGGGAAGGCTGGGGCCGCCGAACAGGATGATGCATCAACGTCGTCCCAGTTAGCAATGAGAGGTGTAACAGTCTGAATTTCGATTCTTTTCCCGGGATTCATGAAATGAATATTTTGGCCAATGCACTTATAGTGAGATCTCACCCGGAAATGCGCATTCTCGGGATGCTAACCTTAGGGGTAAGGCTATTACGGGATTGAGTTCGCACGACCAAAGAACTCGACCTGGGTTCGATCTTCGACCATATGGATTGACGAGGGAATGTTTTGAGCCAACCGAGACCGATCTACTTGATTGATCGTGTCCAAAGGGCACTAGCGACAGACCCTCGCAATTATATGACAACCGAGGTCGTCCCGGGTGGAGTAAACCTAAACGTGATTTGACTTAGTGTCGGTCACGGGTCGAGAGCGCGTAATTCCAATGAGCCACCCGTTAGCCAGAGATAAGCTAAAGTCGCGATTGTTCGATTTTAGTCATTTCTTGGAATTCGGGCCCGGGAATCGAGAATTTTGAAAGTGACAATTTTGGACAGCCGATGACGTTTTTGGCTTGGCCAACCTTGGGGCCACCCATTTCTGTAAAAAAATGGATTTCGGTCCGGGACCCGGAAAATGACCATTTTGCCCCTCTGGTCACCGATGGCGATTCTGAGGTCGTTTGAGGTTATTTTTCGAGGCCGACGCCATTTTTGAGTGGCCACGCATACCAGGAGTGGTTTTGGCCAAAAATTGGAATTTCGACAAAAATTGGAAAAATAATATTATTTTATTCCCGAGACTTTGACGTGGATTTTCGAGGGCTTGCGCGATGAATTTCGCGATTCCGACGCCATATTATGTTGGCCACGCACATATGGAACACGTATGTGCAAAAATTGGAATTTCGGTTCGGGATCGGAAAATTACCAAAATGCCCTTGGACCCATTTTTGGTAATTCCGAAATTTTGGATTTAATTTGGGATTAACCAAGGTGAGTTAGGCTTAACTCAGGTCTGGTCAACCATGGTTAAGAGCAAATGACCATTCTACCCCTAAATTATTGGATTGGATCATTTTTGGGCCCTTGGATTAGGGGCAAAATTGTCCAATGGGCCTAGATTGTGACACTTGGATCCCACTAAGCTATCTTTGACCTATTTGACCAGACCCTCTCTCTCTCCTCTCAGCTATTTGATTATTTTCCCCCGTGCAAGTTCTTCTTCTTCTCCGTTTCTTGTTCTGCAGATTACGTTTCTGCCATTTTCGGTACTGTTCACGCCGGAACAGTACCAGCCGGTGCTGCCCCCACCAAGCCAACATCACCAGCAACCATTTCCACCTCTGTGCAGCCACCACAGCCCCAGTTTTTGTCCAAAACAGCCTTGTTTCTCTGTTTTTCTCTTTCCCGGTCTGCAAACAGTACCGCCGGAGCTTCGCCGGAGCTCCGATCGCCATTCCGTCGACACCCAGCCGTCCAGCCTCGCCGTACGTCGCCGTCCAGCACCGTCCGTACAGTGTCCGTACGGTTACTGTTCACACGTCCGTACGGATCACTGTTCACGCCGGACCGTCGGACGCCGCGGCTGTCACCGGCACCTCGCCGGCCACCGTCCCAGCCCCGTCCCGTACGGTGTCCGTACGAAAGCACTGTTCACGCGTCCGTACGGGGTGCACTGTTCACGCCGTCCGTACATCGCCGGCGACGCTGCTGCCGCTGTCCCGGCCCGTTCAAGCCCCGTTCTGTGTCGCCTTTTTGGGTAAGTGTTTTCCCCAAATGTCATTTAGGACCTCGGGTATTTCTAGACTCGTTTAGTATTCGGTTTAAGTGATTTTAGGGACTGTTAGTGGTTATTTCGTGGCTGTCTTCGGGACTAAATTAGGGGCTGAATGTTTGGAGGTTGTGGGCTGATTGGGTGACGAAATTCGTGGTTTAGGAATGCTGAGTTAGGGCGGTGATGTCGAGGATCGATCGGGAATTAAATGGGTGATTAATTGGAAATGTATTGGCTTGATTGGGTTTATCGGATTAATTGTGTAGTTTGCTGTCATTGGCTTGTTCTAGTTTGTGATTGGGCCGAATGTGATGTGGTGCTATGCCGTGTGTGTGGCCGTGAGGTGTGGTGGCGTGGACATGTGAATGTGCATTGAGTTTGTGTGCCGAGTGTGGGTGATCATGTGGTGTCCGTGTGATGAGAATGCGTGTTTGTGAAGTGTACGTGAGATGTGAATTTGGTGTGTGGCTATAAATGTGTGAGGCGTGTATGTTTGGCCGTGCGTGTGCTGGTTGTGTGTAAGTGTGGTTTGAGTGGAACGAGGATATGGAAATGTGAGATTGGTTGGAAAGGATCCGTCCTGAGGCGTGTACGTTTACGCGGGACGATGCCGTCCCTGACGAGGTGACGATGCCCGGCCCGACGGGGTGTCGATGCCTGACGTGGTCAGAAGACCGTTGGCCTGATGCGTTTTACGCGGGCGCGGTAGAAGGAAAGTGTGTGTAGGATTCCGTCCTGAGGCGTGTACGTTTACGCGGGACGATGCCGTCCCTGACGAGGTGACGATGCCCGGCCCGACGGGGTGGCGATGCCTGACGAGGTCAGAAGACCGTTTGGCCTGATGCGTTTTACGCGGGCGCGGTAGTGGTGGAAAGGTTGAGAATGAACAAGAATTGGTGGGACGAATGAAATTAAGAAAGTGACGCGTGGTTTGAGTTGGTGTGCGAGTGTGTTTGTATCGCGTGGTGTGATGCTCGATTATGGGGTAAAAACTGCTAGGCATGGTATGGGACGTGCCCAAGTGGGTTTTGCTCTATAATCGGGGCACGCGCGCTGCTGTGATGTATTTCTGTGGCATACTGGATGTGTGGTTGACTAACGTGCAGGGACGTGCGTGAGGAATTCGAGGTAGGGTCGCATGTGATTGTTAGTTGGGCTGATCGTTGTGTGTTATGTGTGTTTTCGTGCGGCGGTGCGTGAGTGCCTACGTGGGGTTTGGGGTTGTACACTTATTGAGATTCGTCTCACGGTTGTATAACCGTCACTTTCAGACCCCCGGCCCTAAACCCGGGAAGTGCGCCTTTTCTTTTTGGAAGTCCGGGGAACTACTGTTGGTACCCGAAGTGGAGCCGCAGTGAGTTCCGGAGATTCGAGCGGAGATTGAAGCCGCACGTGAGGAGGGGCGATCCTTAGGTTTTTCCTTAAGATTTTGGGGGTTGTGTAAATCGGGTTGACCCATAGGGAAGTTAAGTTAACCAGACCCTGATATTTTGTTGACGGTGATTTCGGATGCTAGTTTGTTAATTATGCCTGTAATATGATGTATGTATATTTGGTGTTGTATGAATATGTGGTTGCTGGATTGTTTTGTTGTTCTACCCCGTTGTCGTCATTATTTGTCCGGGGTTTTATTTTTCGCTTCCGCATGTGGCTCTGATGTTTGGGTTGGGTCGGCGACGTTCCTGGGACGTCGCATCATTTCGACCGGAGCAGGGGATGTCGCGAGCTCGATGGGGTTCAGGGCGTGACAAGAGGTACTAGCAAATAATAAGGGAGTGGGGGAGGAGGCGATGGGTGACCACTCTGTTCCTAGCAAAAATATTTCCAGTCTCATTAGAAATGGCAGTCGGCCTTTTTCATGGGAACAGACATTTAGAGAGAAAGAGAGATATTGCATCCAAGGATCAAGTAATTGATAGAACCAGGTCGCACTATTGGGACACAAGAAAAGATTCATTTCATGGTACCCTCCCAGTCCCGGACCTTA